TATGTAGTAACCACTTGTTACCTGAAAAAAATCCAAGGAATTAACTTTATTATAGATTCTCTAGCATTGATAAATACATATTGACAGATATTACGTCATATTTCATTGACCAAAATATGTCAATTGTACAAGAACGGCGAGACCGAAGGATGAAGTGGATACAGACAGGTAACAGCTAGGGATCTAAGTTTAGTTTTCAGATTTTTATTTATATGATATCTAACGCTAGAGAACATGTGATTATATACTTAATCACGCTGTTGATTTTTCGAAACACGATTTAAATAGAATGTTTAAGTATAGGAGTAGAAATTTGAACTATTCTCCCATATCGGATGTTAATGACGTCTACTTAAGAGTTGAGTACATCTATCACACTGCATTCCCAATATTATGGATATGTGACACTCCAGTCTATGGAATATCAATCGATGCAAAAAATATTATTTTAGTCTTTTATATCTCACCACTGAAAAGAGATAGAAGTCTAAGATGTTTACCGAAGATAGAACTCATGCAAATGTATTTTTAATACAATTTTCAGGTATGGAACTCAACTATTTGAACTGAAGCTTTTTTGGTGAAATCGCCATAATATGAATCCGCAGAAATTTTAGTTCAATCGGTTGAATCATTGTTGAAACATAAATTTTACAATTCCTTTTCGAACAAAGGTTCTCGTTTTGAGAGACTTTTATAAAAAAAAATCCATAAAACTATTGCTTCTACGGCATATCTTAAATTGAGTGAGAACTTTCATTGACCACGGTTCTGTTGTTAGCAGTCGTGACTTGCATGGACCAGCTCATAAAAAACACGGTTTCTACTATAGTTTCTTATCATTATTTTTTAATTTTTATAGTATGATACGAATTACTGATTGAAGATTCTAATTAAGTATATAGTTTACGCACAGTGAAGAGTGTTACCGGAAATGTTGAAATTGATATATTGTTTTGAGACCGATGTATGAACTTAACAGGATTACTAAATAGAGCTACACAATGATGGGAGAATATAGTGACTATGTCAATAAAACCAGGCGATAAGCAAACATACACATTAAAAAAATTAAAAGTTCTTAAATGAATAACATTACGGATAAGTGAGTTGGAAAAACTTTAGATGATCATGGTTAAGTGTAGGTTATACCTACACACAATATCAATTGACTAGCTAATATGCCTCTATAGATTGCTCCTGGTTCCATTTTTGTGAACGCTAAGAGGAAGGTTAACCATCATTAGGCTGAGCTTTCTCCAATTTTTGGAGGAAACTTGGGTGTAAGGAACAATTTTCTTCGATTGTGAATATCTGCTCTATGGAGAAGTATCCTCTGCATTCGCTTCCTATACAACTGCTGGTATTTCGTTCTTTGATTGTAATCTCTTTCATCGTACTATTAATTCACATGGTGAGAAGCAATATATAGAACAAAACTTAACGATTTATAACCTTTTTCTCACCATTCTACACGGAACTAGAACTCGTATGGTAAATGAAGAATGAAGTTCATGCTGTTTTTTCTTACCTCTGTGCCAGTGGAGTCATAGGGTCCATAAATAACATGACCATCTTTAGCTATTCCAATTAATGTCAAAGTACGATATGAGTTATATAATGAGATAGCATAGGCGGCAATACTTGAACTACAAGAACTAGTTGATGCACATGATGCAATAGTACCTGATGGTGGACTCAATGCACAGCCTGATGCCATATGATAATGATAAATGTTCTGTATATTTGGATGTCCTAAACATGCGTCCACCGTTTCGGCTGTATTGCCTGCTGTTGGATAAAACGGATCAACATTATTTGCACTGTTCACATTCAGAATAGCAACACTATCGACACTAACACCTGCAACTGTATCCATTTGATTACCATAGACCGTCAGACTCGATGCAGATGGAGCTGATTGTTGATTATTGATGTTGCAAACGATCGAGCTTAATGCTGATGCACTTGCAGCATTCTGATTAAGTGAATTGACACTAACACTGGGATTGAAATTCACTGCGAAGTCAATGTTTTGTTCGCTAATAGCCGCAGGCGAATTGGGACAAAATCGTGGAAGCCCGTTGGATTGAACACGAATACGAACAGTTGAAGTTCCAGAACATGTGACACACAGCTTTTGATAAAATACACATGTACTACCGGAATAAGTGCCGGGACACGTTGCAGCAGTAAATCCTGAGCTGCATGACACACGATAGCCAGTCGTGGCAGTAATCAATGCAACCGCAGTGGTATATGAGCCACATGTTGTCTTGAACTCCGCAGCTACTGTATAGCAATTAAGTGTTGAGCTGCTGCTGCTGCCTGTACAAAGAATCAATTAGCAGTTGAGCAAGAAGAGTAAAGTAAGGAAGACGCTGACATTTGTTGAACCAACGGCCGAAATGTAAAACAGTTTTCAGTATTTATATGAAGGAGGAAAAGGAAAGGAAGATTTCCACAATTACGATGACTATGGAAGTCATTTGAGAGCCTTAAGTAGACCCCTGCGAAACAACATTTACTTGATCTCGTCTTTACCTCACTCCTGAAGCACTTGCTCCTGAAATTTTTTTGATCTACAATAGAACTCCCAAATTATAATTCAATTTTTATACGATATTTCACACATTTGTAGATTGTCATGAGACTAAAAACTCTAAAAAGAGTTGATTATCTGAATCTTTCTGCTGGAACTATGAACGATTTGCTGACTTTTGTACCTATATGCAAGATAGTAGCGGAGAATTCGAATGAACCTATTTTGTCTTCAGTTTTTGTCTAAAAACAGCGCTATTAGTTTTTTTGAATGTTCTGAAAGTCTTCATCAAAGTACATATTATTTTTTCGTGAAACTAGATTCTAAAACAGGGCTTACTTGATGTGACAAAATATTTCAAAAAAAGGATATTACTTGAATAACTTGTACACGAGAATGAGAAAATTCGTTCGGACTAAAACTCAGCGATTGTTCTCGGATTAATTGTACTTATTTATGAGCAAAACTTCATCACAAAATTCTGTCTTCCGGTTTCTCTAAAAATACCGAATACTGTCAGCAAATCATTCATAATCCAAGCTGAGAGATCAGAAACGAAATTCTTTCAAGTTTTTCTAGTTCAGATTTCTACATTGAACATTCTATTGGATTCGAATAAGCATAAGTAATAACTAAGTATCACAACATAGATTTGAAAAGTGAATTAGACAAAGAAATATTTCAACTACTGAAATATGGACTTTTCTAGAAAAATAGTTATGTTCTGCAAACGATGGAAGAAAGCACCCAGAACATGTCTGATACGGTTTGAAACACAACTTGGCATTGTAGTTTGAACTTTTTTCACATAGAACCGAATAAATAATGACAAATGTTTCACAATGCCATACTATGGATTATTTAATTTCAATCTGAATTTAAACAGAAAAAAGAGCACTTGATTTCAAATTGAAATAAGGGACTAAGGGGACTAAGGAGACTAAGGGGACTAAGGGGGGGGGGGGAAGAAAATGAGGGAGGAGAGAGGAAGTG